GTTTATAAACTATGACATTTATAAATGTATGAATCATATGGTGAAAAACTGACTTTGAAAAATAAATCTGTTCTTTTTTTCTTATAAAAGTCTAAATAAAACAAATATTTGTGGTAATTTTTGACTGTATAACTTGTGTGCAGACTAAACGAATAAGAAATGATGCAACAACAATAAATGAGACTCTTACACACATTGGATGGAGAGAGTGTCTGTGTAAGGAGGGGGGTGATTATGAGATGAACCCAGCCCAGTGAATTGGCAGTTCTCCCCTGTTCATTAACCAAAGTCTGGATTTCACAGCTCTCCACTGCGGCGGTCCATCCTTTCACTTCCCCCCTCCAGCAACACATTACGTCGCCAGAGCACAAACAAAAAGACGGAAATGGCAGAAGGAGTGTGTCCGCCGTCCTCCTCTTTCCCGTGTCCATTACAACAAACACTCAACAGCCTGAGAGGGAAGCGCACACTGACCACGACACTCATCAGCAGCTGGTGATGAGGTCAGGCTTTATGGCTGACCCTCAGGAAAAGAACAGGCCTGAAATGGGAAATAATCCATCTACATTCACTGCTTGTGTGGTCACAGAGTTCAGAATGGAGCTTTAATATGTGGATGTTTTGAAGGATTTTTTTTTCTTTTTTATGGACTTTTGAAAAAAAAAATTTCGTAAATGTATGACACCTAAATTAACACTTTATAGTTGCAGGTACAAATACTTTGTTGCTTTTTTGTTAGCTTCAGGTTTTAGATTATTGTAGTTTTGATGTTTGAGGAAACGTGAAAATTTTGATAGAAAAATACCAAAGTTTACCAGTCATGTTTACTTATGTAAAAGAATTCAAGATTTGTTTAATTTTTATTACATTTAATGCATTCATATTTTGTTTTGCCACCACAGAACAAATGACATTTTGATTTTTGAAATAAGAATAAAAGCTGCAACCAGTGCAGCAGTAATGCATTTACCCTAACTTTAATTAAAACCTACCTACTTAAGTATTATTTTATAGCTTACAAATGCACGCAGCTGAAGTTCTTTCATCTGAGTTCATGATTTTTACTCATTTGCTTTATCCTCTGCTTTGTTACAGGGTTTGTGTAATTTCTCTTACTGCCACCAGGGGGAAACATAAAGACTGTAACACAGGATAATGAGCTCAGCTTTAGGTCATTGTTTCACTAGAGATTCATTTATTCATTTGGAAATAATTTGCTTTTTTATTTTTTCCTACTGTTTTAACACTGACTGTTTTCTGGTCTTCATTTGCATTATGTTTCTCACAATATCAGAAAAAAAACTGTAAATCACAACCTTTTACAGTTAAAAGTTGGGCAACATTTATTTAATGCAGGTAATTTGTTTCTCCTCTCCTACTCTCACTTTAATAGTTGTGACCAAAGAGCTCAGATGCAGCTTTGACTCATCCAGATGTCTGTTTTTTTTTTTTATCTTAGTTGCACTTTTACATGAAATTTACTGATCAAATAAAATCTAGCTAGGTATCAAGTGATGTGCACTTTTTGCAAAAATCTTTGGCATAACATATTTTGGTTTTGGTTTATTGCCTAATCAATCAAATCAGTATAGCCAATGTTTTAGACCAAGGAAACATTTTCACTTTAAAGATGCTTATAAAAGAGAGAAGCAGAGTTACACTTACATGACACGAGGCCCTCTTGCCAGACGGATCAGGTAGAGCCCGGCCCCTGTGACGCCCAAAGTAATGAAAAACTGAGGGATCAGCTGAGGACAGAAGAGGAGCAACAAATTAGTCCCAAACCACAAAGTTATGATGGTAGGAGGAGGAAAACAACATATTCCATCAAGTAGTTGGCTGTGATATGCATCATAAACACCGATCTGTGTGGAAAACGCACCCAGAGATGGTTGTTATTCTTGTTTTTCCTCTGCTGCATATGCCTGAGGTTTACACCATGTTTGAGGCTGCTCATTGTCAGCTTGGTTTGAGAGGGCAAGGACACTGAGTGTGTGTGAGTGTGAGTGTGTGCAGGGTTTCTTAACGGGAAGTTATTTGACAATGAAAAGAATTAAGGATGTCAAAAACCACATCGAGGCACGGCGACAGCAGGAAGTGCCGTCCAAAACAGCTGGAGAAACGTTTAAAACCAAACGGCACCAATTTTGTTGACGCTACACGTCCACATATTCCCTGTGTACTTTTTTTACTGTGATACTGTGCTTTAGTCAGAGTCACACCGCTGGTGAACAGCTGTTCCCGGCTCACACAGATCCAGTGGAGCTGCAGCGAGCTGACAGTTTGATCAGGTTGAACTGAAGGATGTCTCTACTCAGCTGTATCTAGACATCTGTCCTCTGCTAAGTGTGTTACACTCGCCTTGTTGCTGATTAGGAGACTGTCTGCTGATGAAAGTTTGGAGATTCACCACCATTAAAGTTGCCGTAACTAAATCACCAGAATCCTCTCAGGACTGCACGGCTCCACACAAACCCTGGTTCCAGAAAGGCTTTGGGGAGGGCAATCCAAAGGCTTCATCTGTTTAGTTGTTTTGAACAATTTTCAATAAATGCAAGCATAGGAAAAGTTTTATTTAATTAATCTATCATCTTCCACTTGTTCTGATTGACGAGTCAGGTCGCAGGAAAGATCTCTTCTGGGAGGATTCCAAGGTGTTTCCAGGTCAAAGCTCTCTCCAGCTTGTCCTGGGTCTTCCTTGGGGTCTCCTCCACCACCGGAAGCAGCTTACCAGATGCCCCAACCTCCTCAATTGACTCCTGTCGATGTGGAGGAGCAGCGGCTCTGCTCTGAATTACTTAACTTCTCAACCTAACTCTAAGAGAGTCCAGCTACCCTGTGGAGAAAACTCATTTCAACTGCATGTATCTGCGATCTCGTTCTTTTGGACACTGCCCAAAGTTCCTGACCATAGGTGAAGGTAGTGACGTCGATTAACAGTAAATAGAGAGCTTTGCGTTACAGCTCAGCTCCCTCGCTGACAGAACCACATCATCTGCAAACATCAGAGCTGGAATTCTGAGGCCACCAAACCAGGTTCATTCACTGAAATGTATAAAAAAAATAACTGTTTGAGCATTTTCCTTTGAATTATTTTAGCAGTTGGAGATTAATTGCAAAATAAATCTTTGTGCTTTATGACAGAGCAGAAGATTCAGTCAGAAGACCAGTAAAGTTTGTGAAATCATGCTAAATGAGATGCAGCACCATCATAAGATCACTCATTTCTGGATTTGTTGGCGTTTGTCTCTCTGATATTCCAAAGAATGGCTAATGATGTTCGATACTGCCGATTTCCTTTCCGATTCTGATACCAAGACAAACTTAGGCAGATATCAGCGATACTGATCCGATACTGATACTTGGTGCAAATGGTAAACGTTAAAGAAAAGTAGTGCATTACATAGGTTGTAAAAAAATACAGGACATCAAAGTAATTTTAAAATTTATTTTAAACACAGAAGTACTGTATATTGATGCAGAGCCCTCATTTGTAATACAACAGAAAAACCAGAAGACACAATTACAAAAAATATATCAAATGGTGTTTTTTTAACAATAAAAATGAAGTAAAATAACAAAACCATTAAATTAAAATATTGTTGAATTATCAGATACTACAAAAATGAAAACTTGTCTTTAATTTGTTACATGGACATAGTCCATTAAAAATAATGAATGTATAGCATGTACAGACTGAGTGCTGCTGAGCCTATTACCCAGGCAGAAGAATAAGTAGTTTCCACCGACTATGTATGATTTTAGACAAGATTTCAATAGTTTAGTTACTTTCCACTGTCTTCCTGTTAATGATATACATTATCTGAAAAGACTGAAGGATCAATATTTTGATCTTAGAATAGATTTTTAGAGGATGAAGTTCTGGTGTCTGTGGCAGGGACATTTCAGTATTGATCTGCACATCATTAGAAATGGCATCTTTGCTTGAATTCAAGCCAATGAATGGGAACTGATGCTTTCCCCTGAAAGCCTTGTGGCTGTAAAAGAAAATGTTCAGTTTTCAAAGATGGAAGCTAAATCGTAGCCTGACCTCAGGACACGTCCAATATCTTCCCATTTTAAAAACATTCGAATGAAACCATAAAATAAATAACAAAAAACTGTGTGACTGAATTGTTCTGATTTTAGGTTTGACTGTCATGACAAAATTGTTTTTCTTTACTACTTCTACAGATTGTTTCTCCTGTTTTTTTCCTCCAACATTTTAGCCCTAAAAAGTGACATGTAGCTGATATTTGTTTGTGTAATAATTGTGGACTGAATGCAGGCGATCCTGTCTGTAACCTGTGCACCGTCTTCTTTGAACATCTTCTAACCTTGGAAACAGCCTGAACCCTGACTGCTGCTGTCATCATGAGAGTAAACCCAAACAGCAACACACAAACACACACACAAAAGCAGGTCAGCTTTGATCTGACACATCCACACACACACACAGCAAAAAAAAAAAGATTTAGAAACGCCTGTCTGCTGGATACCTGTCTCCATAGTGCTGATCTCTTCATACTGCATGACACAAGCCAAGCGTTTCACCTTTCCCCGTTCAGCCTGACCAATATAGGAAGTATTTTATACTCGCAGGGGTTCGATACTGACGCTGCCCTTATTACTTTTCTGGTGCACTGCCAAGCCAACTCTGTCAGTCCATGAATTTGGGTCACCCTCAGTACGGCTCTGAGGCAACAGAGGGGGTGAAAAACAAGCACAGAGAGCTCGTGTTGCTTTCTTTATATAATGTGAAAGGAAATAAAAATAAAAATCGTGCCGTTACACTACTGCTTTCTATTGTGCTAACTTACACTTAGAGTTCCACTTTTTTACTTTTCTTCACCTTCTGCAGTGATTAAAGCTAGCACAACTTTGTTGATCTACTTTTTTATTGTTTACGTTTTAGTTTCAGACCAAATGCAGCAGGTTTGTTTGTATTTTCTTTGCTTAAAGCATTTTTTTCTTTCAAAAATTGGTCTTAAAATCATGTTGCGGTTATTTCTTTTTTTAACCTTAACTTTATGCTAATTCATTTAGATGTTATGTTGAAGTATTTACTCAAAGGTCAAATAAACTCAAGAATAACCTTAACTGGATGATCTGAACCTAGGGTGTCTGATCCTGGTCCTGGAGAGCTTTTATCCTGCAGGTTTTACTTGTTTTCCTGCTCCAACACACCTGATTCAGTGACTGAATTACCTCTTCAAGTTCTGCAAAAGCTTGTTAGCCTGTTAGAGCAGAAAACCCTGTACAACGTGCAGGATAAGGCCCTTTTAAAGAGCAGGATTGGACACGCTAAGAAATAAATGCTCCTCACTTACATAAATATAATTCAACCTAACCCTGGATGTTTCTTTGTGGGCTGAATCATGGTCCTAATCATCTTTAATTTTCTTCTAAAACAGAAACTTCTCAAGGAAAAACCACACAAAAAAGAAAGAAAGCAGCCATTGGTGTGCGACTGTATCCCTCTAAGCTAATATTTCTGTGCAGAATAAAAAGCTGTTTGTTAGCTGATGTACAGTTCGTACAGTACAACGAGACCTGTTGCCCGTCTCCTCTCTGCGCCTCCCCTCCCACTGAATAAATGAGAAGGTCAGAGGCGAGAAGAGAGTTGAGAGCAGAGACGTACTCAGTCCTAATCCTCATAATCACATCTGCTCGGGACATTGTCTGTTTCCACTGAGGCTCACGGAGTACTCTGTGTCCTAAACTGTTTTTGTTATCCAACAGGAAACCTGCAGCAGCTGAAACTCAGCCACTGTGCCGAACAATTTGACTAGTTTTCAAAATGAGCCACTTATTTTGGTGCGTGAACACCCATTACTTAAAAAACTTTTAAATCTCCGCTCGGCACTCATTAAATATTGCCTTTTTTAGGCACTTTGCCAAATCTAACGAGATGTAATGGCAACATCTAACATTTCCCTCGGGTCGAGACCTTTTGTTGTGTGCAGGATAATGGCGATTGATTAGTCGCTGATGCTGCACCTGCAGACCTTTCATGTTCCTTAATCGCACCCTGCAACCTAATGAACTTAATGTAATTAATAACAAAACGCTACGCTGGATAAATTGCACAGGTTATTTCTTGTGTTTCAGCCGTTTTTAATGTCTAAGCATCAAACTGCATGCTATTTTTCTTGTTGTTGTGCATGTGTCATCAGTATATAAGTGGTGATTATAAACAAAGTAGGTTCAAATGTTAGCATTTTGGGTTTGGGTGAAGAGATGCATTCAGTGTTGTATGAAGTACCTCAAAGTGATACTTGAGTAAAAGTACAAGTATCTTATCATAAAAATAATTTGGTAAAAGTTAGTCTTCTCTAAAAATATTAATTGAGTAAAAGTCTTAAAGCAGGCATGGGCAATCCTGGTCCTCGAGGGCCGCAGCCCTGCATGTTTTACTTGTTTCTCTGCCCCAACACACCTGATATGAA